GACAGAAAGATTCCCCATGGGCAAGGTCGACTGTTACTGATGAAAAACAAGAGATGATGTTTTGTGAATATTGCCGTTATTTTCCTGATCACGCTTATAACTTTTACTTTGTAAGTGGGAACAACAAATATACGAATTGAACCACTGGTTTCACATGACAAGATCAATGAATATGTTTTCTGTGCCCGAAAATATTTAACAACCCATAGTACAAGGGATATCCAAAAAGATGTCTAGAGATCCTTGTTATAATTAATAAAACAAAAATTTATTTGATTTATTTTATCAAATACCGTGTATAATGCCGCATTCAAAACAAGGGACACCCACTCTGAATTTGTAAGGTATACTCGGGCTAGCAGGTCAGTTTTGATGGGCTAGCAACTCTTTCAACAGGGCTAGTAAAATCCTGCTACCAATAAGTCCTGGGCTAGTGAGCTGTAACAAAAAATTTTAACCCCTGCTGTCTGCATCAACAGGGAAATTTTAAAACCAGTAATGTCTGCATCAACAGGGAGGAACTAAAACCAGTGATGTCTGCATCACCAGGGAGGGACTAAAACCAGTGATGTCTGCATCGCCAGGGAGGGACTAAAACCAGTGATGTCTGCATCACCAGGGAAGGACTAAAACCAGTGATGTCTGCATCACAAGGGAGGGACTAAAAACAGTGATGTCTGCATCACAAGGGAGGGACTAAAACCAGTGATGTCTGCATCACCAGGGAGGAACTAAAACCAGTGATGTCTGCATCACCAGGGAAGGACTAAAACCAGTGATGTCTGCACCACTAGGGAAGAGCTCAGATCAGTGATATCTTCATCGCCAGGAAGGCACAAAAACCAGTGATGTCTGCATCACCAGGGAAGGACTAAAACCAGTGATGTCTGCATCACCGGGGAGGGACTAAAACCAGTGATGTCTGCATCACCAGGGAAGGACTAAAACCAGTGATGTCTGCATCACCAGGGAAGGACTAAAACCAGTGATGTCTGCATCAACAGGGAGGAACTAAAACCAGTGATTTCAACATCACCAGGGAGGGACTAAAACCAATGATGTATACATCACCAGGAAATTATTAAAACCAGTGATGTCTGCATCATCGGGAAGGACTAAAACCAGTGATGTCTGCACCACCAGGGGAGAGCTCAAACCAGTGATGTCTGCATCACCAGGGAGGAACTGAAACCAGTGATATCTGCATCACCCTTGAAGGACAAAAACCAGTGATGTCTTCATCATTAGGGAAGGACTAAAACCAGTAATGTCTGCACCACCAGGGAAGAGCTCAAACCAGTGATGTCTGCATCACCAGGGAAGGACTAAAACTAGTGATGTCTGCATCACCAGGGAAGTAGTAAAACCAGTGATGTCCGCACCACCAGGGAAGGGCTCAAACCAGTGATGTTTGCATCAACAGGGAAATATTGAAACCAGTGATGTCTGCATCACTAGGGAAGGACTAAAACCAGTTATGTCTGCATCAGCAGGGAAATATTAAAACCAGTGATGTCTGCATCACAACGGAAATATTAAAACTAGTGATGTCTGCATCACCAGGGAAGGACTAAAACCAGTAATGTCTGCATTACCAGGGAGGGACTTAAACCAGTGATGTCTACATCATCAGGGAAGGACTAAAACCAGTGATGTCTGCATCAACAGGGAGGAACTAAAACCAGTGATGTCTGCATCACCAGGGAGGGACTAAAACCAGTGATTTCAACATCACCAGGGAAGTATTAAAACCAACAATGTCTGCAACATCAGAGAAGGACTAAAACCAGTGATGTCTGCATCACCAGGGAGGGACTAAAACCAGTGATGTATACATCAACAGGAAGGACTGAAAAACCAGTAATGTCTGCTTTAGCAGGAAGGGACTTAAACCAGTGATGTCTGCATTACCAGGGAGGGACCAAAAACAGTGATGTTTGCATCACAACATATTTATTAAATATATCTTCAGATTTATCTGCTCAAATTCTCATTCATTTCCCTGTTTGAATTTTTGTTTTATTTCGGGTTTGTGTTGTTCAGTCTTTAGTTTTCTATAAAGTTTTTAATGGACTGTTTGTTTTCTTTTAAACCTTTTTTGTTAGTTGTAGCTTTCAGAGTTTTTTTATGAATTTTGATTGTCTCTTTGTAATCTTCTGCCACTTTTTATGCCCCCGCTGCTAGGCTTCAGGGCATTAAGTGTCACCCTTTTCTGTCTGTCTGTCCCGTCCATCCCCAAAATTTGTTTCTGTTCTCTAACTTTAGTTTGCCTCAACCAAATGTTATAAAACTTATACACAATGCTTATTACCACAAAATACAGATCAACTGCATGAATCCTGCATCACTATGTGGAAGTTGACTCATGCATATTTACAAGCGGGTGCATCTGTGGCCCATGGACACATTCTCCTTTTATTTTCCATTGCATTTAACACTAGGGAGCATAGTATCTATTGGTATGAAAAATGTTTGAAACACAATGGTGGAATCAAAAACATAAGCTAAAGAAAGATGAACAAAAGAGAAATAGAGTAGAGATGGAGTCCAAAAAGTCAGAGAAAGTAATATTTTGAGTACCACCTATTCAACTAGCAAAGAGGGAGTTAACTCAGTTTCTCTGGAAATGAAAGCAGTTCCTATTCCACTAATATACATTTTTGCAGTTTGTAATCTTGAACTCTCTCTTAAGGTATGATGATGGGAGTTTTTAAAGACCTTGACTGGCTATACAGCCCTCGCATGGTCGGTGTCTCTTAAGGTAGCTGCGTCTTCTTCCATCTTGGATTTTGAAATAGCAGATAGCAATTGGTCTAGATCTTTAATGAAATGTGCAAATTTCGAGAGTAGTCTGTAACTCATGTGTAAGGCTTTTCATGTTAATATAGAAAATTATGTGTTTTATCATTTTTCATGTTTTTGCGGCTGTATTTTACAAAAAACAGAATAATTTTGTTTGATTCATTTTTTTTAAAATTTGCCACATAAGGGGAGATAACTCAGTTAAAGTAACTTTTATATTGGAATGTGTTGTGAATTTACCTATTTTATTATGTAGCAAGAAAACGAGTCCATTACCCAATTTCTTCTTTTTCTTATCTGAAAGTATATTATTAGAGCTACATTTATCTTCTCATATTTTATCTTAAAATTCTATGGTATAGTTTTCTTTTTATCACACAAAATTGGGTTTTCCGTGCATAATCTATACAAAATTTGACAAATTGTTAAAAAATTCTATGGATTTAAATTTAGACCCCCCATCTACCTTAAGGGTATGGATGTTATAATATTACTAAATCAAAACCCTTTCTGTTAATAAAATTTCAGTAATTTTAGATCCTTAACACATGCCTGACATTGCATGTAGTATGTATAAATGGTAGCAGTATCATTGAACATGATACTAAACAATATTCCTTGTTTATCAGGTTTACAGATACAATGTACTAAACAATATTCCTTGTTTATCAGGTTTACAGATACTAAACAATATTCCTTGTTTATCAGGTTTACACTGTGGAAATGATATTTTTAGAAAAGTGCTATTTGACTGGTAGACATATTTACACTTTTGGGTATTTAGCTGAATTTGCTCCAAATGACCATAGATCTGTCTCTGAGTAACCTTCTGACGTCATGGAACAATTACATTTTAATTATAACGACATATGTTTTAAATTGAGACACAAAATTCTATGGGAACTATTATGACTTCAAGTAATAGTGCACAAATTTCTACGGGAACTTGTTTGGCTTCAAGTAATTATATATATAATGGTGCACAAATTTCTACGTGAACTTGTTTGACTTAAATAATGGTGCTCAAATTTCTACCACGTCTACAGGAACTCGTTTGACTTCAAGTAATGGTGCACAAATTTCTATGTGAACTTGTTTGACTAAGTAATGGTGCACAATATTCTACGGGAACTTGTTTGACTTCAAGTAATAGTGCACAAATTTGCATACAAGTGTAGATACATCTATTATCACAAGACTAAAAAATAATATGATATGTCTACGGCACTAACAATCTTAGTAGGAATGAAAGAAATAAAGTAGAGAATAAGATTTGAAAAAAACCTCTAATATTTTGATTGATTTTCTAAACTTGATGCCCAATATAAATATCTTTTTAATAAATGAGGTATATAGAAATAGACCATGCAAATGAATATCAATACATCTGTCAACTTATTTCGGGTTGAAAAATCTATATGCAAAGTATGTAACTGTTTGAAAATTGAGTTGATATAAGAACCTTACAGAACAGACCAAAATTCATCTTTAATTTTGTATTTGAATGTTCTAAAATCAATCTAAGTCTTATACTTGAACATGTATACCATGTATACGTGAACTTGCATAAGTTCGATTTCTATCCGACACAGCTCATATTTCATAAGGAATGATTAATGGTAAAAGTTTGGATTGCCAAATACTCACAGTCTAAAACAAACGTCAAACTTAACTCCCTTATTTTGTATGCTGCTCTTTATTGTCTATTGATCCTACACAAGATACAAAACAGATAAGGATCCAGGATTTTGACAAAATTTGGGGTGGTATAGTTAAAAAGTCTGGATTAACCATAAATGTAGCTTCATAAGGGGGGCTTGGCACATCCCCCCCCTTTTACTATTAAAATTTGCCTCTGCAAAATAACTGATTGATTTGATTTACAAACACCTTTATAAATTATGTTATGCTATGTTACATAAAGGTACTGTAAATTCAGAATGTTTTTATTATTGTGAAAAAGGCTGTAGTAATCAGGTTCGTAATAATAAAAACTTTCATTCCTATTTTCAGTGTTGATTTTCCTTCTTAAGTTTGTTTTATTAGCATAAATTATATTTTACATTTTTGCAAGTGGTCGAGGATTCAAAGTAATAAATGCACACATTAATTTCAGAATTAACAGAACTTTATATTAATGGATATTTTAAAATAAAATATAATGGCATACTTTTAACAGTTATATTTATATGTTTCAGGTATCTCTGCTATTGATACTGTAAAGTTTCAACAACCAAAAAAGAGATGTAGTTAGCAAGGTTTAAGGTAAAGCTGCGTAGGTAATGGAGTCAGCGAAATGTCATTTGATTCAGCCATGGTTCACTATAGTTCTGAAGACAACAAGCCATGCTGCAAGTTCTGTGGTAAAAAGTTTGCACAGTCGAGCTACATTAAGGCTCATATGAGACTACATACCGGTGAAAAACCATTTGCCTGTTCATTTTGTCCAAAAAGATTTAGTGACTGTAGCAATTGGAAGAAACATGAACGTATACATATTCGTCAACTTGGGATTAAAGTGGATACACCTCCCCCACCTCAAAGAAGTGAGTCCTCAAAATCCAAAGCAGTTTTAATTTCTCCACCAGTTAAGGTAAAACAAGAACAGATAACTGGGTTTCAGTGCAAACTTTGTGGCAAAGCTTTCGCCAATGCCAGCAGTTTAACAACACATAAACGAATTCATAGTGGAGAACGACCATACCGTTGTGGAATTTGTGGAAAATCATTCACGCAGATAGGAACACTTAGAACTCACGAACGTGTTCACACAGGGGAGAAACCATACATTTGTAAAATTTGTGGTCAGACATTTGCACAAAGTGGTAGTTTTCGCATGCACGAACGCAGGCACATGATGGAAATGTTACACCAATGCCCACTTTGTCCAATTAAATTTGCAAATTACGAAGATGCCAAACGTCATTTAGCAACACATTCAGAAATGGCAGAGTCCAAAATGGCAGAGGGGTCCCAGGTTACTGGGGAATCACCAGATGCCTTATCACCACATATTGATACATTTTCACCAAGAAGCAGTCATGCAGATCAAGTCTCGTCTCCTCTCTTCCCATTTCCACCACAGATACCAAATTTTGTGACAACAGGATCTGTCTGTTTACCAGTAAGTTTATCAACAAACAGCAACATACCAACACCGGTCAGCATTTTACAGTCGCAAGCATTAAATTTACAAGCCAGATCTTTTGCTGAATTTTACCATAAACCATACGCGCCAAATGTGGGCATCTCTGTTTCTGACCGTGTAGCCAATGAAAACAGCGATACTGATGTTGTGAGTACAACTACATGTCGGAACAGAAAATACAGTTCTGACTCGCATACTTCCAGATCCATGTCTACACCTGACGGAACTAACCATAATGAAGATACTAAAAAAACCAACATGGATTCAGATGCCTACATTAATGAAATTAACCATAAGACATCTGAAAACTCGAGTGTAACCAGTGAGCACTCTGATAATGTTGTCAGTGATGAACCTGGCACGATAAGTCGTACAAACCTTCATTCAAAGCTACGTGGATCATCAAACTCTAGAAAGCAGAGATATCCACAAAGAAGGTACAGTTCAAGTGTCACGATGGATCCCGTTACATCAACTCAACCCAGTACCAGTTACATATCAGTGGAAACCAGTTCAAATATGTCTGGGGAGATGACAGAGGATGAAGGAAGAGATGAGGTCAACACGTCACAGAAGCAGTATCGTTGTAACCATTGTCATATTATTTATGAAGATTGTACACTTTATCTGCTTCATAATGGGTTTCATTCACACGATACTGACCCGTTTAAATGTGTCATCTGTCGAAAGTCTTGTCGAGACAGGATTGAATTTAATTGCCATTTGACCAGTCATCTGAAGTAACTTTAATTTAAAAAATGTTGAAATTATTTTTGGCGGATTATTGTCGAGCCTGCGACTTTTGTCGCAGAAAGCTCGACATAGGGATAGTGATCCGGCGGCGGCGGCGGCGGCGGCGGCGGCGGCGGCGGCGGCGGCGGCGGCGGCGGCGTTAGCTAACTTCTTTAAAGCTTTATATTTTAGAAGGTGGAAGAGCTGGATACTTCATACTTTGTATATGGATGCCTCATGTTACGAAGTTTCAGTCAGTCACATGTCCAATGTCCTTGACCTCATTTTCATGGTTCAGTGACTAATTGAAAAAAAAGTTAAGATTTTTTGTAATGTTAAATTCTCTCTTATTATAAGTAATAGGATAACTATATTTGGTATGTGCGTACCTAACAAGGTCCTGATGACCGTCATACAGTTTTCATTTGACCTCGACCTCATTTCATGGATCAGTGAACAAGGTTAAGTTTTCGTGGTCAAGTCCATATCTCATATACTATAAGCAATAGGTCTCGTATATTCGGTGTATGGAAGGACTGTAAGGTGTACATGTCCAACTGGCAGGTGTCATCTGACCTTGACCTCATTTTCATGGTTCAGTGGTTATAGTTAAGTTTTTGTGTTTTGGTCTGTTTTTCTTATACTGTATGCAATAGGTCTACTATATTTGGTGTATGGAATGATTGTAAGGTGTACATGTCTAGCTGGCAGGTGTCATCTGACCTTGACCTCATTTTCATGGTTCAGTGGTTATAGTTAAGTTTTTGTGTTTTGGTCTGTTTTTCCTGTATTGTATGCAATAGGTCTACTATATTTGGTGTATGGAATGATTGTAAGGTGTACATGTCTAGCTGGCAGGTGTCATCTGACCTTGACCTCATTTTCATGGTTCAGTGGTCAAAGTTAAGTTTTTGTGTTTTGGTCTGTTTTTCTAATACTATATGCAATAGTTCAGCTATATTTGGTGTATGAAAATATTTTATGATCTAAATGTCAGTCACGCAGGTTTCATGTGACCTTGACCTCATTTTCAAGGTTCATTGCTTAGTGTTAAGTTTTTGTGTTTTGGTCTGTTTTTCTTAAACTATAAGCAATAGGTCAGTTAAATTTGTAGTATGGAAGAATTGTTAGCTGTACATGCCTGCCTAGCATGGTTCATCTGACCTTGACCTCATTTTCATGGTTCATTGGTCAATGTTTAGTTTACTTGGTTAATGTTAAGTTTATGTGACAGTTGTAATAAAGCTTTATATTTAGGACTATCAACATAATATCAATGATTAGTAAAGAAGGCGAGACATTTCAGCGTGTGCACTCTTGTTTTAAACTCAACATACTGTAAATTCAGAAATTATTGCGAGGTTTTTATTAATGCGAATAATGCGACTAGGTCAGAATTGCAATAATAAGAACTCTCATTCTGATGTCCAATACATATTTTCCTGAGGTTGCAATAATTAATCTCGCATTTTTGTTCTGTTTTCAAAAATCACAATAATATATGCATGCAATAATTTCTGAATTTATAGTAATATTGTATTAAATTATTCAAGTGCCATTTGACCATCATTGAAAACCAATTTGAATTTCATCTGTGCTTAGTCGTAAAAGAGATTATATTTTTTTAGCAGCATTTTAAATGGTTTTTTGTCGAGCCTGCGACTTTTGTCGCAGAAAGCTCGACATAGGGATAGTGATCCGGCGGCGGCTACGGCGGCGGAGGCGTTAGCTAACTTCTTAAAAGCTTTATATTTTAGAAGGTGGAAGGTCTGGATGCTTCATACTTTGTATATGGATGCCTCATGTTACGAAGTTTCCGTCAGTCACATGTCCAATGTCCTTGACCTCATTTTCATGGTTCAGTGACTACTTGAAAAAAAAGTTAAGATTTTTTGTAATGTTAGATTCTCTCTTATTATAAGTAATAGGATAACTATATTTGGTATGTGTGTACCTTGCAAGGTCCTCATGCCAGTCAGACAGTTTTCACTTGACCTCGACCTCATTTCATGGATCAGTGAACAAGGTTAAGTTTTGGTGGTCAAGTCCATATCTCAGATACTATAAGCAATAGGTCAAGTATATTCAGTGTATGGAAGGACTGTAAGGTGTACATGTCCAACTGGCAGGTGTCATCTGACCTTGACCTCATTTTCATGGTTCAGTGGTTATAGTAAAGTTTTTGTGTTTTAGTCTGTTTTTCTTATACTGTATGCCATAGGTCTACTATATTTGGTGTATGGAATGATTGTAAGGTGTACATGTCTAGCGGGCAGGTGTCATCTGACCTTGACCTCATTTTCATGGTTCAGTGGTCAAAGTTAAGTTTTTGAGTTTTGGTCTTTTTTTCTAATACTATATGCAATAGTTCAACTATATTTGGTATGTGCGTACCTTGCAAGGTCCTCATGCCCGTCACACAGTTTTCACTTGACCTCGACCTCATTTCATGGATCAATGAACAAGGTTAAGTTTTGGTGGTCAAGTCCATATCTCAGATACTATAAGCAATAGGTCTAGTATATTCGGTGTATGGAAGGACTGTAAGGTGTACATGTCCAACTGGCAGGTGTCATCTGACCTTGACCTCATTTTCATGGTTCAGTGGTTATAGTTAAGTTTTTGTGTTTTGGTCTGTTTTTCTTATACTGTATGCAATAGGTCTACTATATTTGGTGTATGGAATGATTGTAAGGTGTACATGTCTAGCTGGCAGGTGTCTTCTGACCTTGACCTCATTTTCATGGTTCAGTGGTCAAAGTTAAGTTTTTGAGTTTTGGTCTTTTTTTCTAATACTATATGCAATAGGTCATCTATATTTGGTGTATGGAAATATTTTATGATGTACCTGTCAGTCTTGCAGGTTTTATTTGACCTTGACCTCATTTTCACGGTTCATTGCTCAGTGTTAAGTTTTTGTGTTTTGGTCTGTTTTTCTAATACTATAAGCAATAGGTCAACTATATTTGTTGTATGGAAGGATTGCAAGTTGTAGTACATGTCTGCCTGGCATTGTTCATCTGACCTTGACCTCATTTTCTTGGTTCATTGGTCAATGTTTAGTTTTCTTGGTTAAGTCTGTATCTTAGAAATTATAAACAATAGGTCAACTATATTTAGTGTATTGAATGATTGTAAGGTGTACATGTATTTCTTGTTTGGTTTATATGACCTTGACCTCATTTTCTTGGATCATGTTAAGTGTATGTGATAGTTGTAGTAAAGCTTTATATTTAGGACTATCAACATAATATCAATGATTAGTAAAGAAGGCGAGACATTTCAGCGTGTGCACTCTTGTTTCTTAGTGTTTTAACTTTAAGTGTTGCATCATTGAAAGTATTACTATTTAACATTGAATTTGTATTTTTGAAACTTTTACAAAGATCATGGCAATTATAAATTTTACCAACTTGTCGAATGATTTAAAATGCATGATCTTGGATAATCAAAGTTTTTGGAATATTCACATTCGTGATATAACTTATTTTTTGAATTTAAATCTTATTTATTTCAATTGCTTCATGAAAAGTCATTGTTAAGTACTTAAGAGATTAAGTTAGGGGAGACAATTTTGATTTATCAGTTTATCATAGAGTTGTCTCCCTTTGGCCAGAAGGAAATTTTTTATTACACAGGATATTTTATACTAATAAGGTACTACCTTAGCTGTGCCTACGTATTCTCAGCTTTAAATTGTGAAATATATATTATTATTGTTGTTTGTAGTTTAGGGACCATTTGTTGTAGTTGTGATATTAGTGTATTTTTACAGCATTAAAATGGCAATGTTTTGTGCAGAAGGGTAGCTCTTAAGATCTTTTTACTTATTATTAATGTAGGTTTACAATGTACATACATGTACATCAATTGCAATCATTCATTAATGTTATTATGTTCATGTTAATATTCAGTATCAGTGATTCAGTAAAATTTAGTAAAAGAAAAAATATACACTTCTAGGGCATGATTAAAGGGATTGAACTGGATGTGAAACTCTTGACATGGTCAATTAAATATATATATGTAGAAATACCTTAAAAATTTTATTTCTGATATTTGATTTTTTTTTATATCAGTGTTAAATTCAATTCTATTATCTTATTTCTCTCGATCCAAACAAAATCTGTAAGCCTGTAATTCAAGCTTCAGTAAATTAGAAAATTTTCAATATAGTTCTTCATGTAACTGATATATATTAAAGGGAAAATTCATCAAGATCGGTATTTTAAATTTTTATGCTTACCAATAGGTCTTGACCATGTTGACATGGTGTAATATTAAACATGTACCGGTAATATTTTTTGGACGTTGATTATTGTAATATTTGATGTTGTCATAATGTCGGCAGTCATTTCAGTATTCCATTGTTTCAAAAATGTACTTAATTTTTTCATTGAAGATGTCGTGCTTGTTGAATATACAACAGCTTGAATGCAAGATGGCCTCCGTTGTAGACTTAACTGTTGTATTTCATGTTTTATTGATTGTCAATTGCTGCAGATTAATGCCAAAAGAAAATTTGTTACAGGATAAAAATAGTATTTTTGAGGGTGTGGATGGGTTTTTTTTTTTACAGAATAGAGAATTATTGGCAAAAAATATAAAGAATAGAGAAAAATGGACCAAAAAAATAAAGAATAGAGAATAATGAGGTGCTAAAATATAAAGAATAGAGAATAATGGGCAAAAAGTATCAAGAATAGAAAAAAGTGGCTTAAAAATTATCCATCCAGACCCTCATTTGTTGTAATATATTTGTTACTTGATACATTTGTATCTGATTCAGTGATTGGCTGACATTTCTCTCATTATTATTCTATGTGATATTAATAAAGAGACCTGTTAAGTATACTTAAAAAGCAGAACAGTCCTTTTAAAAGATTCAATTTATATTTTGCTTTTATGACATCAAATTTAGTCTTTGGTTTGCTTGATCGTTCAACTGTCAAGATGTTAAAACGAGAAAATTGCACTAACTCCAAGTTTTAAGATAATTTATTCTAAAAGATATTTAGGACTTTTACATACAGAAAAATTGTTGTATT